AGAGAAAGAGAAAGAGAGAGAAACATGACATCTTTATGTACACTGAAATTAGCCGTGAGGGGAGGGAAGTGGTAGGAGGGTTTTTAAGTTGTCATTTTGTTTATGAGGATTTTTTTTCCCTATGCGTATCAAAACATATGTGCAATGGTTGTTTATGCTACCACTCTATTGCTCTATGCTCTATCGACCTCATCCCTGCTGTCTACCATGGTCTATCATGGTGTGTGTTTGTGTTTGTGTGTCCTGCCACGACCGAGCACGGAGTATTGCTTTTGTTGTTGACAAGCCGGTCTGCAATGTCGCTCCATAAGCAGTCGTCAGTGCGCTGTGCAGGAGGCAACTGAGGTTGACTCCTAATGTTCGTGACGTCGCTAGCATAGTCTCTTTGCTCACTAAAACAAACCATGCTTTGCCAATACATTACCATTTTTTTCCGTTGTTGCAAGATTTCATAATGCTGGTCATTGCCGCATACTGGAGTGCGCCATTTTGTGTTGCCCCCTTCAACACAACACGCAACTGTTTATGTAGATCAGGAAAAACACGTGCCAACCTCAAAATTGCATGTGCCCACCCTTTTGTCACTTGTTCACCTGCCCCCTTTAAATCTCAGTACACATCATCATCTTTCTCTCCTTCCTCGTCGCTGCTGACATCGCCGCCACTCACTTCCACCTTGGAAGATGATGCCCTTACGCCCTATTCTTCATCTTCTTCTTTTGCATTTCTTATGTACTCTACAGCACAACTTGGCAACTCAGGCTCTTTGAAACTACGATCACGCTGTTCTTCTGCCATTGTTAAACCATTGAACATATCTTCGTCCTATAACTCCTCTGCCATTCTTGTCTCCACAGGAGGAAGAACGACTGACATACTATTTATTGTTTCTTATGTCGCTGATGTCTGTTCGTCGTGTGGAATAATTGCAAGATGTGCTTCTGTGAGCATCAACTTCCACCCTTCTTCTCTTTTTGTTTTTCTCTGAATATCGGAACCGGCATGGCCGAGCTACTCCAAAGCTGCCAGGAATATCCCCTTCCACAATGACGTGCCACATATCATGTTGCCTTCCTTTCTTGCCGACATATATTCGATTAGTTCTTCTCCCTGTAGTGCTAACTCTGTGACTTCATGCAATGCCTCATGGATGACGTTCCTGTCCTCGGGACTCTTTTTCATGGAGTCCACAAGTTGATCCATCAGAACATATTCCACACCATCTGCGACTATGAGAGGAACATCTTGAAAGTCTTCAGGAGGTGTTTGTGTTATATCTTTTATCCTAGAGAGTAGTAAAATTTTTGCTAAACCGGTCTTCAACTTGTCCTTCGACCCTTCAACAACCAATCCCGAATTCTTCGCCAAAGTGCCCAACAACTTCTTGAAATCTGCAGGTGTATATATTCCCACTTTTTGATGCATTGTCATGTCCGCATCCCCTTCTTCGCACATCCCTTTGTTGCACATCCACTGAACTACTCCTTTGAGGTTGTACACACTGTCTTCCATGTCGTTGTCCACGCGCAAATCTGGTGACTGTTCCAAGCGTTGCAATAATGTTTGCGCTTTGACACACCCCTCGCCGTTTGCCATCACTGTGGATCTCATATCCACATTGACAATGAAGTAACTCGACACTCTCCCCTCAAGCATACACAACTCCCTGTCATTGTCGTAATGAATGAACTCCTCTACATACTTCATCACTTCTTTGAGAGCAGCCTGCACCTGCGCTATTGACATCGGCATGATGCTTATGGTTCCTCTTCTTCTCTCTGTCAGTGGAAACGTACAATGATGTCAAGGACTTTGTCGCACTTTTTTTTTTTCCTCCTCTCTCTCTCTCTCTCTCTCTTTTTGCCCTGTGTGTTAAAACGCGTAGCTTGAGTTAAGTTCGCTACTGCGTGCCATAACCATGACCAACGGATGTCAATGGACTATGTATGTCACACGGTAGTGAACTTAAGTCTGAACATGATTGCCTATGTCTGGTTGTGTCTTTGTGTACATCTCTGCATGTCCGTGTATGTCTTTGTTTTTATGTGGTTGTGTCTGTGTATCTGTGTGTGTCTGTATGTCTTTGTGTGGCTGTGTGCGTCTGTGTGTGTTTGTGTGCGAGTGTGTGTCTACTTGTGTGGCTGTACAATTGTCAGTGTTTGTATGATTGTCTATTTGTACCTGTGTATATATGTCAGCATGTTTGTGTGCAAGTTAGTTATTGTGTGGTATTTCAACTCACAAAGGCGTGTATGGTCGGTGTTTGACACGCAGTAGTCAACCTGAAGCGTGGATGTGTATATGGCTGTGTGGCTGTGTTGCTATGTGCCTACGTGTCTTTGTGCGTGTCTGTGTCTGCTTTCTATAAGTATGTGGCCATTTGTATCTCTATGTCTGCTTTCTGTAAGTATGTGGTTGTCTGTCTGTGTATGTGGCTGTGTATGTGGTTGTTTGTGTGTCTGTGTGTCTGTGTATGTGGCTATGTGGCAGTGTGTCTGTGTGTCTATGCGTGTCTGCGTGTGTCTGCGTGTGTCTGTGCGCGTCTGTGTGTTTGTGTGTAAGTTAGCTACTGCGTGCTATTTCAACTCGCGATGGACGTGTATGGTCTGTGTTTGACACGTAGTAGTCAACCTGAAGCATGGCTGTATATGTGGCTGTGTGGCGTTGTGTCTGTGTGCCTGTGTTTCTATGTGTGTTTGTGTGTCAGTGTATGTGACTATGTATGTGTGTCTATGTGTGTCTGTGTGTCTGTGTGTCTCTGTCTATGTATGTGGCTCTGTATGCATGTCTATGTGTGTTTGTGTGTCTGGCTATGTCGTTGTGTGACTGTGTATGTGGTTGTGTGACGTTGTGTGTGTGTCTATGTTCATCTATGAGTGTCTATGTGTGTTTGTGTGTGTTTGTGTGCCAGTGTATGTGGCTGTGTATGTGTGTGTATGTGTGTTTCTATATGTGGCTGTGTGGCTTTGTATGTGGCCATGTGGTGGTGTGTCTGTGTCTATGTGTGTTTGTGTATGTATGCGTGTGTCTATATACAAGTTAGCTACTGCGTGCTATTTCAACTTGCACCGGACGTGTATGGTTTGTGTTTGCCGCGCAGTAGTCAACCTGAAACGTGGTTGTGTGGCGTTGTCTGTGTGTCTATGTGTGTCTATGTGGCTGTGTTATTGTGTGTCTATGTGCGTCTGTATGCGTCTGCGTCTGCTTTCTGTAAGTATGTGACCGTTTGTGTGTTTGTGTCTGTTTTCTGTAAGTATGTGGTTGTGTGTCGTTGTCTGTGTGTCTATGTGTCTGTATGTGGTAATGTTGTTATGCATCTATTTGTGTGTGTGTGTCTGTGTCTAGTATGTGGCCGTTTGTGTGTCTGTGTCTGCTTTCTGTAAGTATGTGGCTATCTGTCTGTGTATGTGGCTATGAGAGAAGGTTAACAACGGTCGTATTTTTCATCACCACTTCAGGACACCCTTCACCACTTCAGGATGCAGCCTGCCTAAACAGGTGGTTTTCAGGGTTTTCGGACTTTTCACCACTTCAGGACACCCTTCACCACTTCACGATGCTACCTACCTAAACAGGTGGTTTTCAGGGTCTTCGGACCTTTCACCACTTCAGGATCATTCAGGATTTTCAGACCGCCAAAAAATTCCACTTCATCACTTCAGAATGCAGCCTGCCTAAACAGGTGGTTTTTAGGGTCTTCGGAACTTTCACCACTTCAGGACCATTCAAGATTTTCAGACTGCCAAAAATTCTCACTTTAAAATTTTCATTCCTAAATTTTCAGCTACCCGTTAACCGCTTGTGGTGGCTATGTGGCTGTGTGTATGTGTATGTGGTTGTTTGTGTGTTTGTGTGTCTATGTGTCTGTGTATGTGGCTATGTGGAGTTGTGTCTGTTTGTCTATGTGTGTCTATGTGTATCTATGTGTGTCTATGTGGTTGTGTATGTGTAGCTGCGTGGTTGTGTATGTGTGGCTGTGTGTACGTGTGTTTATGTGTGGCTGTGTATGTGGCTGTGTGAAGTTGTCTGTATCTATGCATGTCTCTGTGTATCTGTGTATGTAACTGTTTGTGTGTCTGTGTGTCTGTGTGTTTGTGTGTCTGTGTGTTTGTGTATGTGGCTATGTGGAGGTGTGTTTGTGTGTCTATGCGTGTTTGTGTGTGTCTGAGTGTGTATGTGTACGTCTGTGTGTGTTTGTGTGCTAGTTAGTTATTGCGTACTACTTCAACTCGCAGCGGACGTGCATGGTCTCTGTGGCGGTTTATGTGACTGTGTGGCGGTGTGTATCTGGTGTATGTGGATGTGTGGCGATGTGTTTGTGTTGTTGTGTGTTTATGCGTGTCTCTGTGTGTCTGTGTATGTATATGTGTGTCTATGTGTGTCTGTATGTGGTTGTGTTGCTCTGTGTCTATGTGTGTCTGTGTGTGTCAGTGTATGCTTTCTCTAAGTATGTGGCCGTTTGTGTATCTGTATTTGCTTTCTGTAAGTATGTGGATGTCTGTCTGTTTATGTGGCAATGTGGCCGTAGGTCTCTATATGTGGTTGTTTGTGTATCTGTGTATGTGGCTATGTGGAGGTGTGTCTGTGTGTCTATGTGTGTTTGTATGCAAGTTAGTTACTGCGTGTTATTTCAACTCGCAACGGACGTGTATGGTCTGTGTTTGGCACGCTGTAGTCAACCTGAAGCGTGGTTGTGTATGTGGTTGTATATGTGGTTGTGTGGCATTGTGTTTATGTCTCTGTTTATCTATGTGTGTTTGTGTGTCAGTGCATGCGGCTGTCTATGTGTGTCTGTGTGTCTGTGTGTGTTTATGTGTGTTTGTGTGTCTGTGTATGTGGAGGTGTATGCATGTCTATGTGTGTATGTGTATGGGGTTGTGTGGTGGTGTGTCCGTGTCTTTGTGTGGCTGTGTATGTGGCTTTGTGTCTGTGTATGTGGCTGTTTGTGTGTATGTGTGCAAGTTAGCTACTGCGTGCTATTTCAACTCGCATCAGACGTGTATGATATGTGTTTGGTATGCAGTAGTCAACCTGAAGTGTGCCTGTGTATGTGGTTGTGTATGTGTGTCTATGTGTATCTGTGTCTGCTTTCTGTAAGTATGTGTATCTATGTGTGTCTATGTGTGTGTATGTGTGTGTATGTGTGTCTGTTTGTATCTGTGTCTCCTTTCTGTAAGTATGTGGCTGTCTGTCTGTGTATGTGGCTATGTGGCTGTGTATACGGTAGTGTGTCTGTGTATGTGGCTGTTTGTGTGTCTGTGTGCAAGTAAGCTATTACGCGCTATTTCAACTTGCATCAGACGTGTATGGTCTGTATTTGGCATGCGACAGTCAACCTTAAGCATGGCTGTGTATGTGGTTGTGTGGCGGTGTATTTTTGTGTCTATGTATGGCTGTGTGGCTGTGTGTCTATGTGTATCTACGCCTATGTGACTTTGTGTGGCTGTGTGCGTCTGTGTCTGTCTGTGTGCAAGTTAGCTACTGCGTGCTATTTCAACTCGCATCGGATGTGTATGGTCTGTGTTTTGGCATGCGATAGTCAACGTTAAGTGTGGCTGTGTATATGGTTGTGTGGCTGTGTGACTGTGTATATGGTTGTGTGGCGGTGTGTCTGTGTATGGCTGTGTGGCTGTGGCTGTGTGTCTATGTGTGTCTGTGTATGTCTGCGTGTATGTGTCTTTGTGTGGCTGTGTGCGTCTATGTCTGTCTGTGTGCAAGTTAGCTACTGCGTGTTATTTTAACTCGCATCAGATGTGTTTGGTCTGTGTTTGGCACGCGACAGTCAACCTTATGTGTGATTGTGTATGTGGTTGTGTGGCTATGTATGTGGCCGTGTGGCGGTGTGCCTGTGTGTCTATGTATGGTAGTGTGGCTGTATCTGTGTATCTATGTGTGTCTGTGTGTGTCTGCGTGTATGTGTCTTTATGTGGTTGTGCGCGTCTGTGTCTTTGTGTGGTTGTGCGCGTCTGTGTCTGTCTATGTGGCAAGTTAGCTACTACGTGCTATTTCACCTTGCATCGGACGTGTATGGTCTGTGTTTGGCACACAGTAGTCAACCTGAAGCATGACTGTGTATGTGGCTGTGTATGAGGCTGTGTGGCGTTGTTTGTGTGTCTATGTATGTCTAAGTATGTCTATGTGGTTGCGTTGTTGTGTGTCTATGTGTGTCTGTGTGTGTCTGTGTTTGCTTTCTGTAAGTGTGGATGCTTGTGTGTCTGTGTTTGCTTTCTGTAAGTATGTGGTTGTGTGGCATTGTCGCTGTGTCTATGTGTGTCTATGTGTGTCTGTGTTTGCTTTATGTAAGTATGTGGTTGTGTGGCATTGTCTCTGTGTCTATGTGTGTCTATGTGTGT